GATGATGATGGCGATGGTGATGATGATGATGATCGTAGTGGTTAAAAATGAAATTAGAATGCTGATGATGATGATGACAATAATGATGATAATAATGTTGATGATGATGATGATCGTAGTGGTTAAAAATGATATTAAGAAGCTGATGATGATGATAATGATGATGATAGTAATGCTGATGATGATAATGATGATTTTAAATGAAACTTGGGTAGTGATTATAATTTTGACGGTGGGTGGTGATAGTGATTGCAATGATTTCGCTAACGACGACGATGATGATCGTTAGGATGATGGTAGTGATGATCGTAATACAATGGTGGAGATGATGATAACAAAAATGTTAAAAAATGGTAACACAGTCAAGCAGACATGTAAATAGGAAGTATGGTTTTAATAATATTCGGAATGGTGCAAATGTTATTCTAGTAGTAGTAGTAGTAGTAGTAGTAGTAGTAGTAGTAGTATTACTTTAATTTTCACGGATTGAGTAAAACTGGAATCATTTTATTGGCCACACACAGAGTGATAACAATTTCAATATGGCGGATGATTGACTGATTGACACATTTATTCATCCATTCCTTATCGATGATGACGTCATTGTTTATTAGCGAGTCAGGTGTTGACATGGAGTTTTTAACAAAACAATAAACCGATTTAGTCTTTAATTAATTTAATAATTTTTACGTACAATTTTTTTTGATTTTATCAAAAATCAAACGACGCTTTCTCTCTGGTATCATCATCAGCATCGATTTATGAAAATACTTAGAACAAGTCAATAAATAATAATAATAATAATAATAATAATAATAATAATAATAATAATAATAATGATGATGATGATGATGATGATATGTTTATTAATGCGTTCTTCGTCCTTGGTGGTGGTGATGACGATGTCGATTAAGATAAAGACGATTGTAATGTTGATTTCCATGCCTTTCATTGCTAGAGAAAATGATCTCAACAACTCTGATAACAATGCGACCATGGAGAGAACGACGGCGATGATGATGACGATAATGATGACGATGATGATGATTATGATGAAGACGACGATGACGATAATGATGACAATGATCGTTCTGACTGAAATTCGAAACGACACATCATAAAAGTCGTAAAGCAGAACATATTGCTGCTGTTGTCCTGCGTGTGAGCTTGCGAGCGTGAATAACACTTGACTGCGTGTGTGAAATCGTGTACCATTGTATTCGCGTGCGTGTGTAGGAGTTGCGTGTATGTGTGTTTGCATGCATGTAAATGCGTGGGCATATCAACACTGAGTTGTTTGTTCGGTATGTGCACTTGTGTACATGTATGTGTGCAGTTTAAATTTGTATTTGTGCGTACAGAGGGAGGCGTGCCAAAATTTTAATTTCAACTTTTGCACGTTGATGTATATTCTAGGTTTTTATTAAAGTTATTTTGTGTACACAGGCATTCACGCGTTTCATAATACATGATTTGCGTATTCCTCTATGTGTATCTGTGTAGTTGTCTGTATATGCCCTGCCCTGCCATCTTGTTTGTATGCGCACATTCAAATGCCTTTTTATTGTGTATGCATTTAAACAAGAATGTTTTTATAAATATCCATACACATGAATGTCAACAAATGTTATACGCATATATGCCTATTAGATTCACGCATATGCATCTGTAATGCACGTTCATTTGCATGGGTGTGTGCATGGATGTCTGCATGCATGGATGCATTCTCCTCAAAAAAAGGACCGAATGAATGAAGGTAGATTTGCTCTCCTTCGTACGTGGGCTAACAGCATGTGAATATTTCAAACATCTTTAATAAGCATAAATAACAGAAGAGGAGGTAGGAAAGGAATGCAGACGAACCGCAGCAGACCAACAGTAATAAGAGACCAACAGCAGAGCAGCGATTTTGTATGCATGCGAGTTCGGAGCATTAAACTGAGACCATTACTTTTGACATGAAGGCATAATTACCATGATTTAATCAAGAAAGTAAAGTTTTCATTTATATTTTAAATGTTGATGAAGTTAATAAACTCCCTTCACGATGATGTTTGCTGGTCGGTCGGTCGATTGATTGATTAGTTGGTTGGTTGGATGGCTGGAAGATTTGTTGGTTGGTTTGGTTGGTAGTTTGTGGTCGAGGTTGATTAATTTTTTGTTTTCTTCTTAATGTTCATGATGTTGATACTGATGATGATGATGCTGATGCCAATGTCTCGTCATGAAATCATTATTTTTTAAAATTATTAGTTTAATCAAAAAATAACAAGGTCTGTCTTTTATACTTGGTCATTTTTATTTTCCTTATTTGGTCTTACGTCAAATTTTTCGCTATAATAACAATAGTAATAATAATAATAATAATAATTTTCAACGTTATTCATAATCTTTTATTTTCATTTTCACTATAATGACATTAAGCATTCTTACTGCATGCTGTTAAAAAATTATTACCCTTAATAAATTCAAGAACAACAATGTTTTAGCATTTTTATACTACAGCAATAACAGCAACCTCCCTTTTTATTAATTTTTTATTATTTCTTTTTTTTTCAAAAAAAAATGGACAAAACTGTGAAAAAAATTAGATACCAATAGATAACCCACAGCATTGCAAATGGCTCTTTTAGGGTGCAACATTTAAATCCATTCGGAGTACTATATCTGCAAACGCACTGTCCAACTGACCAGTTGACCAACCAACCAACTGCTACTATTACGACTCCATTGCAACAAAAGTGGCCATTTTTCGAAAGAATTGTTAAAAATAATAATAATTATTACTGTTAACTTTATTATTTTGAATATGTTATAATGACAAAAATAATAATTACAAAAATAACATAATTAATAATAAATAATATTATTGTTGGTATAACTTTTATTTTTTTAATACTTTGCGGTTTTATTAGAAGGCCCAGTAAGAATAAAATAGTCATTCAATCAATGAAGTTTTACATTTGAATCAATGAATAATATGTCGGGTTTTATTTTTACTACTGCTTAAATTATTTCTACTACCAAAAAAATGTCAAATTTGATGTCATCATCATCATGTCACTTCAGTAAACGTAGTAGTAGTAGTAGTAGCAGTAGTAGTAGTAATAGTAGTAGTAATTGTAGTAGTAGTAGTAGTAGTAGTAATAGAAGTAGTAGTAGTAGAAGTAGTAGTAGTAGCAGTAGTAGTAGTAGTAGTAGTGATAGTAGTAGTGGTAGTAGTAGTAGTAAGAGTAGTAGTAGTAGCAGTAGTAATAGTAGTAGCAGTAGTAGTAGTAGTAGTAGTAGTAGTAGTAGTAGTAGTAGTAGTAGTAGTAGTAGTAGTAGTAGGTAAGACGATTATAAAGTTTGCGCGTTCTTAGGTT